TTTTGGTTCTCGGATTTGAATTGATTGTTATTTAAACACGTCTTCACCACTCGACTAATGATAATATTCAAAAGAGATCTGCAATATATTATTGGAAATACTTGAGACAACTATTGAGAAAATGTATCAAATAATTGTTTTAAAATTATAGTTTATAATACCATCTTTATTATAAATTTGTAGCTTGTTTATTTTTAATATGAGTTTTGTTAAATTTGAGCCATTAATACAAGTTTTAATATTATTTTAAGTAAAATGTTGTATAATTTTTAAAGTGTGAGTATTTGCCGTAAACATGATCTCTGGTAAACTACTTTGTATTTAATTGCAAGAACTTAACTACCAAAACATTTACCGGTAATACATGTTTAAGACATGCATTATATTTAAATGGACAACATATTGGTGGACATTTACTGTACAGCACAATTTAATTTTCAAAATACATGTATAATAATATGATGTGGAGAATCAATCATAGATATTATTAACCATCTTATAATTTGGTTGTAAATTAAAATGCATGATAAATATGTTATCTTTGATATGTTTTGAATTATCAAAAGTATTGCTGATATATTAGACAAATAGAAACAATTTGCTTAAAGTATTTATAGCTTTCATATGATATCAAATCACATTAAATGCTTATGAAATATACGCCAAACATTTCATCTCTTTATTAACATAACATTAAATTTGTAAACTCTATTAAACTCACAATATATTACTTATTAAATTATATTAAATTATATATTCTATACATAATACAGTGTAAAGTGTAGTTAATTCAGTTTTTACTGTCACCAAAAATGCCAACCATTTATAGCAAAGACAGTTTTGATCGATTCGGTGATGACTTGTGTCCAGAATTGTTAAGTTATCTATCATTTGAAGACAAGTTTAAATACCAATGCATTTCAAAACAATGGAAATCATTTATATTTAACAAACAATTTGTGCTAAAAATTGGTCCGAGAGTTAGTAATACGCGATTAGATTCTCTATTATTACGTGATATTCATTTCGACAAATTTGAGGCAATGCTGAAGAAAATGCCAAATATTACCAAAATTTGTGGTCTAAATAACGAATGCATTGCTTTGCAAACAGACTTCTTTGAGTCAATTATAAAACATTGCAAATATTTGAATAATATTTACATTGATTTTCATTATACCAATGATAATAGAGTTATTGAGAAGTTTTTCGCAAACTTTGCCAAACAATTAAAAACAATTAAATTTGATTGTAATAGTGTTTCCACTTTCAAGTCACTAATGTATTGCTTTCCAATGTGTACTAATTTAAAAGCATATCACTGCAAAGACCTGGATCAATTCTCGCAGTTAATTGTGGAGATCAAGTGCTGTATAAACGGCTCAAAAGTATTCGTTTGGATTCAATATATTTAAAACATCCGCAAATATTGAACATGTTTAACATGTTTGTTCAAAACGCTCGCAATACAGTTGAATCAATTATTAAAGTTAAACTCACCTTATAATGACTTCTGTATTAGTTATTTAATTGGCTAAGAAACGGAGTTTACTTACGTAATTTATGAGAGGTGTAACAGAAATTCAGTTTAAGACAACTAAAAAAACACGTTTCGATGAAACAATTTGGTCTCAAATGTCCGCAATTAAAGAGTCTTTGTATTGACGTGTCATCCGTTGTGATGACTGAAGAAGTGTTTCACACAATTAATGCAAACTTTAAACAATTAAAACAATTGGAAATAATAGGATATATTGCTAATGGATTGCAAGTGACGAGTGATTCGTTGAATGCATTGAAACGATTAACTCATTTGAATGTATCGTTTCATGTGTTCACTCCATTCACAGATACTTTCTTTGTTAATATTGACCGCAATTTTCCACTTCTTCAACAGTTGAGGCTTAAGAAAGTGATGATAACAGACCTGACGTTGAATTCATTGTCAAAATTGAGACAAATTCGTGTCATTCAACTCAATGGACAAAATAATACGACAAAAATAGCAGAGGGTATAAAGTGTACCTCTCGTGGCCGGTGCCGAACTGCGCCGACGGGTGTCCTATGAATTGGCTTAAAGACGGTTATTGTGATCAGCCGTGCAATAAGTCTCAATGTCTATGGGATGGCGGCGATTGTCACCCAAACAAGACTGACCGAAGTTATCTCTCACGAGAAGGTCCGGTGGCCTATACTGACAGTTCATTGCATATCAAATACTCGTCGGCCTATTGTAGTGCCAATTGTGTGGACAGTTGGCTGAGCGACCGTTTCTGCGATCAGGTGTGCAATAATATCAACTGTGCCTTTGATTTGGGCGACTGCGGGACCGATAACTTTGATTCACTCCAACGCCTGGACTTTAAGCTAAACAAAGACATCTATCTCTTTGACTCCAACACAACCGCTATTTATTTTAATTTAACGCATTTCGTCGCTTCAAACGCCAAAAATAGAGCAAACTTTCAGATTAACGAAATTAGTTATGAAAATAATAGTTACATCCGTTCGGCGGCACTCAATATGAATCACAAAACTCTTATATTTCTGTTCGCCGCTAATCAGGAGAAACAGAATCTAAACATAACTCTTAAAGGATTGAAAAATAACTCCGAGTTTGTCATTAAATTTCAAGCTCTTGTTAGCAATGATTTGAAATCCAATACCAGTTATGCCGTAATGGATGACAATATTAATGAAGAATTGGTTCATAAAGAGAACGGTTTAACAGAATCTTATTTATTATACGAAAACGAAACGAACAAAAGTGAAGAGAAGAATGTGTCGACTATTGTATTCACATTCAAGAATCGATACGAAGAATATCCAAAGATATTGCCTCTAAATAACACACAATTCAACACAACATTTGAATGCGAGTTCAATGTGAGTGAATTGCCCGATGAAATCAAACAACAATTTTATGATTTAGACATTAAATATAAAGAGGGAATTCTCACACAAAAAGGATTCAACAATTTTCGACTCAAATTAATGCATTTATATGTCAAACAATTGTGTGACTTTAGGCATACAATTAAGACATACGACAAGACAATTAGCGCTTTTGATTGGGAAAGACAGTCGATATTCGCGGACATCGAGGGATCAATTGAGGCGAAAGAAGAGCGTAAACGACATCATAGAGTGATTCGCAGGCATTTAATGGATTCATATGCCGACTCTTTAAGACATGTCAATCACTTGTATAATAAAGTGTTTGGCATTGAGATGCGTAAAGTGCCGGCACATATGGCCCACTTCATCGACGTTGATATCATGTCTAGACTTCAGCACACATTCGCCGATCATTACGATAGGACTTCGTCGCATCGGATCCGTAGCTCCGATGACATGCAGTTCGCCTTTGCATACAATTACTATCTGATGAGTGAACTCAACTCAACTGTTAATACATCGCAACTCTTTGACGACTTCGATGTGGACGGCTCCGGGTATTGTCACTTATGCTCATTACCACACTTTTACTCTTATATTTATTTATGCACTCAATTAATGTCATATAATATGGTATTTCTCATAAATCTTAGCCAAACTTTTTCTTCTTTTTTTTGATGAATTAATTATTAGTGTTTTGAAAGTTCTTATGCTTTGAGTCAATAACCAAATGCATAATATCTGTAAAGAATTTTAAATTTATATCAAGACATAAATAAGTGATCACTTTCTCAACGCATTTATATTGATTTAGGAGTTGGTCTGTGAGTGAAGTCCGAACAGTAATCATCAATATTTATGATTTGCCGCTAAAAGCAGAGTCTGTCGAAGAGTTTTACACAATGCTATTCTCGTGCTGTAATTCAAGCGATAATTTGTGTCATGAAGCGAAAAACAATGTGAATATTTCACAATATTATTATAGAGGACAACAGAAACAAGTAATTGAACGCTAAGTATTGATTTTTTGGTCTCAATATAATTTGTGATTTATATATCCATCACAAAATCCGGGCTCTCTCTCTCTCTCTCTCTTTCTTTCTTTCTTTCCTAATACTGGTGTCTAATTCTTATGCTATTGTTTCAGTCAATAGAGTTTTCAAAGTGTTCAGTACTCGAGTGCCAGAATGTGACGAATAAATTAACACAAATATATAAAAACCAAAAGCGAAACAAATACGAGATCGTAGGCGAAGAAGAGGTGATCTTCAAAATGATAAGAACTAACGCAACAATTGTTGGCCAAGATTTGGATCAACTGAGCAAACGGTTAAAGAAGTTTATGTGTTTGAATGATAACATCGAACACCGAAAGGCAGATAGAGATGTAATACAAGTCAAACAAATGTTGGTTGAGTTTTACGAATCAATATTTCCGATGCGATCGCAATTCGAGTTACCATTCGGTCAAACGAATCGATTTGAAAGCATTCAAGAATACAGGCTTTGGAAAGACAAACATAAATCACAATTCACTCAACAAATGCTCATTTGGATTATTTTTGCAATTGTTATATTTCAAGTCACCCAACAGTTATATTCAATTCGAAGGGTACCTTATTTTATGAAAATTAGACAACAAATTATATGAAATATTTAATAAAATTACTTGAAAAATAAATGTTGATCTTTTTTAATATAGAAAATCTGTGCGATTGGAAGAATCCCTATGAGAAAGATCTTCAATCTTTGGCAAAGATATTATCAAAGAATTTAATTTGAAATTCAATTTCTGGTTTATATACCATTTCTGTGATACAAATTTTTGAAAAACAGTTGAATAAAAAATACTGGCTTTGAATATGTGATTAAAAGACAAATATTGGCCACAAATCTTCATTTTTAATTTGATATAACATATAAAAATTAAAATCTAATGTTTTTAAATTTTTAATAAAAACAAATTTTATTTAAAATTAGATTTTTGAAAAGACATTTACATTTCTGTTTCTAATAAATAATTTACAATTATATTATGTAAGAAAAGAATATATTCCACAAAATGTTGCATTTATTGTATTCTGTAATGATTTAAATGCTAAAATATGTCAATTTTTATCTGCTATTACTTAACTTATAATTTTCAATAAAATTAAAATGATTTACGAGTATATAATCAAATCCCTCCGTTTCTCATCAATCAATGCCTGAATCTTATTTCGGGGAACAAAACATTGATTATTAAAATAATTAATCTTTTCGTTGCTTTTTGTGGTTGTTTTGGTCGCGTATGGGCTCTAACCGCCCGCCCATCAGTCCCTCCACTTTTGCTGACAATTCCGAGCATTTTTTGGTCAAATTCTGGTTTTCATATTTCAAATATTCATTTTCCTGTTTGACAGTTAAACTGAGGCCACAATTAGAGCACGGATTGAACGGACACTCTTTGAGATGAGCCGATAGTAATCCGGATTCAATCACTTCTATGCAGCCTTTATCGGCGAACTCGCAACTAATATCCAATTTACTGATCACAGCATTGATTCGACTGTTTGTCTTTACGAGGCTTTCATTGGAATCATGGAAAGCGATTTTGGCCACGTGTCGACACACCGGACAAACCAATTGACGATATGTTGATCCGATTTTAATGACAGGAAAAATACACGTTTTACAAAAAGTATGGCCACATCTCGCGTCCACCGCATCTTTGAAAATCTCCAGACAAATACTGCACAACAATTCTTTGACGAATCCTTTCTCTCTGTCCACAAATCTGTTGATAGGAATTGACGGCATTTTTGTCTAATTATTATTGATTTAATAAATATTTGCAAATTTTTGATGAGTGAAGAGTAAGAGTGAAAATAGACAATAAAATGGTTAGTTTTGTTTCAAATCAGATACACTATACATCTCAATGTTTTTTATTAATCTCACACATTATCAGTTATCTTAAAGTTTTCAATACAATATCTTATTAATATTCAACTTTTATTACTTTATTACTTCAATTACATTTTTATTCAAGTATTATTTTAAAAATTCAATTGATTTCAAAGGTAATAGAAATTGTATAGTAACAAAGAAATTAATATATAAATCAGATTAATATTAGTTAAAAGTGATTATTTTTTATACACATTGAATTCAATTTTGGCATAATTATTGATAAACTCATCAAAAGTGGTTTTTGTCGTATTATTTTGTCCATTGAGTTGAATGACACGAATTTGTCTCAATTTTGACAATGAATTCAACGTCAGGTCTGTTATCATCACTTTCTTAAGCCTCAACTGTTGAAGAAGTGGAAAATTNAGATGAGATTAGGAGTCGAGTAATGAAGAGATACATGAGTTTTGAAGATGTGATGTGGATGTTGTAATTGGTCACCACTTATCATATCATATATACAAAGACACACATAAAGTGTATGCACTCAATACCAATATATAAGATACTCATTTTATTATCAGTGAAAACGTATTACTGATTAAATTAAATACTATAAACTTGAAGACAAACTTCTACTGAAGTTTATATTTACGTTTAGAAATGTGTTCATTAGGGAGTCGTTTGCAATTTGTGACACAAAAATGTCAACAAATTTTAGAATTATTTTATGCAAAATATTTCATCGAAATCTTGTGGATATGATTTTGAGGATAAAAGTGAAAGAAGTTATATTGTGTGTCTATACTAGTATCATATTAATTTTTATTTGCTGTATATTATTGGTAAATTAATTTCTTATATAATTCAATGCTTTTACTTAATTTTAGTCTAAATGAGAGACATTTAGGCAATGCCTCGGTTTATAGCTTTCACATCACTCCCAAGTCTATGATATTAATTAAGTCAAACATTTTGATTGATTTTTATATACATTTATTTCGTTTCTTATATTCTAATTGCAAGATATTAACGATAGTAAGTCATAAACCAAATTCAATCACATCTGGAGAGGAATATTCGTGTCATGACTTCCCAATCCTACACCAGATGTGAACCCAATTACCGTCACTAGGCGTTGATAACCGAGTTAACGAATTTTGATTTGTGCTTTAAGTTTTGTGTTAAAGTTCGCTTAATGTCCGCTTCCCGTTACTGACGTCTTCTTGTGTTAATAGCGTTGAATGTAATGAGAATTGTGTGGAGACGCCGATTGTGCTCATGAGTCCAGTGGTGTATAATCCGCACCATTTCTTTGATAACGTGACCAAATTTGAAATTCTCGAGAACTTCGGGACTTTTATTTATTTTCCATCCCTTTCTAAAGGTATACCACAACAGACACATACATACAGTACTATCCGTACGGTTAATGTATTGCTAATGCAATCGATTATATACTTTATATCGTACCGACTTCTGTGAGAACTGCTATCTTGTGAGATATGGAGGGGCAGTGAATTTGACACAAAAGTCCATAAAAATAGTCTTTCGCTTCTTGTGCTTACTTTTATCATCTCTTTTATTATATATCCATTTTTATAGCTCGAGAGATATCTGAGCGATGCTTTCTATCCAATAATACCACCACTTATTCGCTGAGAAAGACTCACATAATTCTTGACGAAAGAGTCAATGAAACTACTATACGATTGAATGGCACTGAAAATCGTAAAACCAGTCATATTATAGCCAAACTCTCCTCATCTCTTATCCTATTGTATGGACTGCCGGCCAACACAAGCAGTCATTCAAAACTACTCCGATATTTATCACCTTTCGCTAGAAAACAAGTCGATGTAATCAATATTTATGACGACAAACACATTGCTTTGTTTAACATTAAAAGTGGTGCCGAAAAGGTCTCTAAAGTAATACAAGCCTTACGAATGAGTTTCGATAAAACTAAAAGTGAAGACCAATCGATCACAATTCGACATCCAATCCATCTTATTGTTGCCGCCAATGATAGCATCGTGTGGTTATATCGGTTATGTTGAAGCCTGTGTAACGTTCTGAACAGACTGTCATCTAAACGACTGTTAGTTCTTGAGTCTATAAGAAATGCAAGTGAGCTCTTCTTACGGTTAACCTAATCTGTACACTTCATTGTAACCAATGGTCAGATTCCTAATTGGCTTAACTTAGAGAATCCTAGAGTTAGTGTCGTTACTCATGAGGTATGTCTCATGCAATATATTATTTGCGAGGAAAATATTTCTCATATTAAATATTATTTTCAGGAAATATTCACTAATAGAAGTCATTTGCCGTCATTTAGTTCGCCGGCAATTGAATCCCATTTACACCAAATCCCAGGTCTGTCCAAAAGGTTTCTATATCTAAACGATGACATACTATTGGGTCGTCCCATATATCCCGAAGATTTTTACACAAATAGCAGAGGGTATAAAGTGTACCTCTCGTGGCCGGTGCCGAACTGCGCCGACGGGTGTCCTATGAATTGGCTTAAAGACGGTTATTGTGATCAGCCGTGCAATAAGTCTCAATGTCTATGGGATGGCGGCGATTGTCACCCAAACAAGACTGACCGAAGTTACCCCTCACGAGAAGGTCCGGTGGCCTATACTGACAGTTCATTGCATATCAAATACTCGTCGGCCTATTGTAGTGCCAATTGTGTGGACAGTTGGCTGAGCGACCGTTTCTGCGATCAGGTGTGCAATAATATCAACTGTGCCTTTGATTTGGGCGACTGCGGGACCGATAACTTTGATTCACTCCAACGCCTGGA